CATATATATATACATATATATACATATATATACATATGTATACATATATATACATATATATACATATATATACATATATATACATATATATACATATATATACATATATATACATATATACATATATACATACATACAGCCATGGGCCCGAAGAACGCGTGTAGCTACGCGGATCTCGCGATGGGCATTATCGATGAACGAGCGAAATCTGGTGAAATTAAACCTACGGCGTTACCGGGACGATATTTTCGATCTCTGGACACAGGGTACTGCCAAACTTCTCAAATTTACTGACTTTATCAACTCGTTATACCCCACAATTAAATTTACGCTGGTTTACTCGGAAGTATCACTAAATGTTTTAGATCTTACCCTCACGCTAGTTAATGGTCTCATTCAGACAGACGTATACTCAAAACCCACCAATAATCATCTCTATTTACAACGAAAGAGTGCACACCCAGATCATTGCATCAAGGCAATTCCCTTTGGAGTAGCTACGAGATTAAGAAGAAATTGCTCAACAGAAGAAGATTTTGATAAACGCAGCAAAGAATATCAAAAGTACCTAACAAGGAGAGGATACCATCCGAATAATGTACACAAGCAATTCAACAAAGCGAAGTCAATTCCCAGAGAGGAACTACTGCAACATACCAAGAGAGAGAAGAGAATTTTATTTCCGTTGGTTGTCGACTTCAACCCCAGGCTTCCCGATATAGGAAAAATCCTGAAGAAACACTTTCACCTTATCCAACATTCATCAGAGTTACAAGAGATTTTTCCACCTAGATCTATGATACCATCCTTCAGAAGGCCAAAAACTATCAAAGAAATTCTTTCTACGAAACGATGGCAGGAAAGTCCAAAAGGGTGTTATGAATGTGGAAAGAAGTGTGACTTTTGCAACAACTACATGCATGAGTCTAGTACATTTGTCAGTAGTCAGACGGGGGTAAAGTACCCAATTAAACAGAACATTTGTTGCAATTCTCAAAATGTTGTGTACCTAGTTACATGTATTAAGTGCTCACGGCAATACATTGGATCCACGAGCACAGAACTGAAGGTCCGCTTTCGTAATCACAAGTCCACGATGATTAACAATAAAAGGACATGCGAAGTAGCGACGCATTTCAACAAAACACCACATGATTTGTCGGACTTCAAGATAGTTAATGACAGTGATTTAAACACTATTGAGAAGCGATTGTTGACAAGAGAAGCATACTGGAGTGCGCAGTTATGCACTTTAAAACCTTGCGGTCTCAATAAGAGATGTGAATTCAGGTCGAAGAACAGAATAAACTTTAGTAATTAGAAACAATTTAAATATTTCACAATAATAGGCCACATTTTTAACATCCCTAGAGTATTCTCATTTAGTCCTTAATTAGTTCTTAATTATTCATAGGTTAGGTTATAAATCGCATGAGTTACTTCCTTGTGTTTTTAACTTTTTACACTGATGAAGCCTGTTTTGGCGAAACGTTTGTAATAAAACATTATTATTGATCTGTCTGGAGTTCGCATTTCCTTCTGTATATCTATATATATATATATATATATATATATATATCTATATATATATATATATATATATATATATATATATATATATATATATATATATATATATATATATATATATATACATATACATATATATATACATATATATATATATATACATATATACATATATACATACATATATATACATATATACAGACTTATATATACATATATACAGACTTATATATACATATATACATGTATGTCTTATACATGTCTTATGGATGGCTATATACATATGTTTGACGGCCGCTTTAAAGACGGCTTTAATACATTTTATATATATATATATATATATATAGGTATATCAAAAAAAAACTGAACAGATTTAAAATTGCTCTCAATTTCGCAAAACAGCTATTTGTATCCGGTTTTTTATATATATAGCCTCTTTGGGTACTTATAATGTAGAATTATGAGAAAAATTTCTCGAACTCAAATTTTGTGAACCAGGGGTGTGTGTCTTTTTCAACAAATTAAAAATGGCTCGAGCACAAAATTTAAAAGCTGCAATCATATTTTGAGTTAACAGATGGAACATTTGTCGGGTTTTTAATTACTGTACAAAATTTC